CTTTTCCCTCGTTTTCTCTATTAGTTCTATCTCGGACTCCAATTAAACATTTTAAGGACATCTCACTCTATTCTCAAAGTCGCGACATTTCTCTTATTTTTCATCTTTTTGCATCTCTTTGCTACATTCTGTGTAAATGACTTAAATGTGCCTTCCAGTTCACTGATCTTCTCTTTATTTGTGAACCATCTGCTATTCAACCTACTACACGTTTCAAATTGATCTATAATTTACAAGAAGAAAGCACAGATTTTTGGTGTGTGGTTCATTGAATTTTTTTTTTTTTTGGCTGTGTTGGGTCTTTGTTGCTGAGTGCAGGCTTTCTCTAGTTGTGGCGAGCGGGGGTTGCTCTTCGTTGCAGTGCACGGGCTTCTCATTGCGGTGGCTTCTCTTGTTGCAGAGCATGAGCTCTAGGCACGCAGGCTTCAGCAGTTGTGGCTCGCAGGCTCTAGAGTGCAGGCTCAGTAGTTGTGGCACACAGGCTTAGGTGTTCTGCGGCATGTGGGACCTTCCTGGCCCAGGGATGGAATCAATGTCCCCTGCACTGGCAGGCGGATTCTTAACCACTGCGCCGCCAGGGAGGTCCTGGTTCATTGAATTTTGATGCAGATTACATTCATGTGACCATAATCACCATGAAGTCAAGATACAGACACTCCCATTACCTCAGAAAGTTCCCTCATGCCCCTTTCCAGTCAAATGTCCCTCCCAGAGGCAACCATTTTATTGATTTGTATCCCCTATTCTAGAACATCAATAAGCGTAATCATACAGAAGATAAAAACCAAAAAAGGGGAGGAAATCGTAACAAGCCATCCACAATTGCTACTCACTTTGAGCAAGATTGTGTTCAGACAAATCCTTGAACTGCAAGCTTAAAGTAAAGCAGAACAAAGTAACCAAGAAACCACTGGGCTCAGTATCTAGCAGGGATGGTTTTATCAGTGCCCGTCCTCTCCTCAGAGCCACCCAGCCAGCTGGCCAGCAGTGGTAACTTGTTCACCATCCCTCAGGGAACTAAAGCAGTGCATCCCAGAAATGATGCAGAGATGGCTGTTTTGCAGTGACCCAGCCTCTTCAAAGCACAGGAAATGTATTCTATCTCAAAAACCACGTGGGGCTCGCACTTGGACTACAAAATTCAGCTGGAATAGAGGGAGAAATGTAACATACGTGTTGGTGATGTTTCCCCCTGACCTGAATCAATGCTCCCTTCCAAACCACGGCTCACACAGAAGGACGGCACGTCCCCTCCTCAAGGAAGCGCGCCCAGCCCCATCACACACACATAATGAACTATCACATGCACCCACTGAGGAAACGTACTATTCTGAGACCCTCTGGCTGGTGGAAAGCATCAAGTTCAACATCTCTCAAAATCCTCCATAACAGAATAGTATCGGAAGGTTAGGATCTTACTGAATTCAGGCCTGTTTTTGCTACTTCCTGTGTCAGTTTCTGGACTCAGTCACCCAGTCTCACATTTTCCAGGCTGCCAATATGATTTCTCTCCTTCCTTTCTTCCCTTTGCTGTCCTTAGCAGCACTGGCATCACAAAGATCATCCCCTTTGCTCCTCCTCACACCTGGGCCTTCCCTCCGTGCTTCCATCTCATCTGTGCACAAATATTAGTCAGGTGCTTTCCAGGTGCCCAGGAGAGGGGGCAGAACCTGCGTGCTACTGGGCACAGGAACGCCCTTCTAGGAGATCACGTGACAGAGAGAGGTGTCTGGAGCCAAAGGGGTGTCGAGTTGAGGTCTGGGGGCAGAGAGAAGGGTGACTGTCCCATGCCGAGAGGGGGCACGTGTAAACAGTGGGAGTCGGGGCACATCCCTGAGCCGACGGACAGCAGGTGGAAGAGGAGGCTGCGGGGTGGGGGTTGGCGGGGGGCCCACACACACCTGGGGCAGGAGGAGTGGCAGCGGAGGGAGGCTAGCCCATGGAGGCAGGGATAACGGGGTCACCCTGCGTCTCCCCCTCCTCCTAGCCCCACAGGGCGCCCTGAGCTGAGTGCTCCTTCATTATGCGCGTCTGTTTTGGTCCTTCCACTCCTCCCAGTCTTTACTTCGACCTTCCTGTGTCATCACTGTCCCCTCTCAGCCTGGACAGCTGGTCTCCCCAGGGCAGCCTCCCTGCCTCCCTCCCTGGTGCCCTGGATAAGGGGACAGCTGATTTCTCCTCCCTCCTCCAGGCTGCGCCCAGATCTACTCTGCCCAACAGGACCACCAAGTAAAGGGCTGACTGGTTTCTCACGCTCAGTCCCTAAGGGCCCCGGAGCCCCCACTTCCTGCCTCTCCTGTGTCTCCAGGCCACGTGGAAGACCTTCGGGGAGGGAGGAGACAGCTGAGTTGGCACAGGTGCAGCCCCGGCTGAGCCCCCACCCATGGCACAATCACCACCACTGCCAGCCCTGGCGGTGCATCCCCACATCCCAGCTCATCTAAGCCCCGGCCCGTCGCCTTCCACCAGCATCTCACGGAGCAGACAAGCAGCCACACGGGCCCAGCCAGCCCACAGCATGGCGAGAAATTATCTGCGCTGTGTTTTTTCCTTAAGCCACTAAGCTCAGGGTCATTTGTTAATTTGTTAAGCAGCAAAAGATAACTGGCGCCGTGTCTACGACTGGCTTCAATATCTTCCGTAACGTGCTTAGCCCTCGCTGTGCTCACGTGGACGCGCAGCCATATAGTTAGCGGTTACTTCAGGTAAAAAATCCTATATCTCATTTCTCGGAAGAAAACTAACGCAGAAGAGGAGGCAGCCTCTACAGATCCCGTGACAGAGGCTGGTGGACTCATTCAATAGGGATGAGAGGCAGGAGGAAGATGGTTATTTGGAGCTCCAGGGGATACAGGAGAGGAAAAAGGGGAAGCATTATTCCTGGGGGCCGGGTCCCAGGTGTCATCCATCAGACGGAGACCGCTGTATCTTTGCTCCTTGAAATTGAGGTATGTATAGAATACTTGGTAACTCTTCATTAGCCAAAATATTAGGAACTCCAAACATTTTATTTATTGGGGTTTAAGGTCTTACAGATAAGCCATAAGACCCATCTCTTAAAGCCTCATTCTTAAGATTCTACCATATTATAATATTTATTCTTGATTTCAGATAAAAAAACTGAATTGAGAATAATGGAAAATACTATTGGTATTTCTTTTTTAAATTGTCAAACCCGTCTTACTTGAAGCAGAAATCCTCCTCATCAGGCCTGTGAGCACACGACTGCCATTAGTGAATGTTTACTCTTTGCCAAGTACCACCCAAGCATGCCACGTACATCTGCAGTCATCCTTCCAAACTCTGCGACGTTGGCATTTCCCCCACTGGGCAAAGGAGGAATCTGAGGCTTACAGACATAGTAAACATTACGGTTAAGACTTACACCCAGACTTGTTCAATCCTAACCCTTTGTCCTTAAGCAGTCAACGGCAATGCCCCTGTAATAGGCTGAATTGTGTTCCCCCAAAAGTCATCGGTTGAAGTCCTAATCCACATGCCCAAGTATCTCTGAGTGAAACTGTATTTGGAGATAGTCTTTAAAGAGGTAACTAAGTTAAAATGAGGTCACTAGAATAGGCCCTAATCCAACATGACTAATGTCTTTATAAGAAGAGATGAGGACACAGACACACACAGAGGGAAGACCTTGTGAGGACATAGGGAGAAGGTGGCCATCTGCAAGCCAAGGAGAGAGGCCTCAGGAGAAACCAACACTGCAGACACCTGGATTTGGGACTTCCAGCCTCCAAGAGAAAATAAATTTCTCTGAGAAAATAAATTTCTGTTGTTTAAGTCACCCAGTCTGCAGTATTTTGTTCTGGCAGCCCTGGGCAACTAACATAGCCACCCCCAGGAAACAGATGAGCCAAGGAGAAGGCATGGGAACTCCTGTGCTTCTACTCAGTTGGGATCACTTACTCTGACCTGAGACATCTTTCAAAGCTCAGCTGCCTGAACTAATTTAAGAAACTGAAGAGTGGCAGCAAATCAGAAGAGGTATAGTCTCTTAGAGACAGGCCCAATGATTCAAATGAAATGTGATGTCCGTAAGAAAGAAAAAGAATTAAAAGGGAAAGCAAGACTTGGAATACCCAGCCTTCTGGAAGGAGCCAGTGCAGGACAAACACATCAGCTGGTCCCGGGGGGATGACTGTGGGCAGTGGCCAATGGCAGCACTGTTTCCTGAGTCAGGAAGGTACTCGGCTTCCTTCTTGTCCACGTGGGACCAGAGGCAGCAGCCATCACTAGGAAATATCTTTCTTGTATATTAAGCTGGTTATCCCATCCTATGCCTTATTAGAAAGAAAGGCGCTGGGTTCCCTTTTGTGACTATGTAGTTTAGCAAATAATTTAATGCTTCTAGAAATTTACCCTACCTGGATATCTGCCTTCTGGGCTTCCACTCTACAAATCAGACAGCTTTGGATGACTAATGAATCCTTCCTTTCCTGACCTCAGGAGAAGGACTACATTTATTAGAACATGACTGCTATCTGTCTTTCTTCTGTCAGGTACAAGCTTCTGAGTGTGGCTAGAGATGACAGTCTCCTGTGCGCAGCTGCCCCACAGGGCTCTCCCAATGCCCAAAGGACACTGCACCAAATGAGGACCTGGGTCCAGAAAGTGGACTCCAGCCATGCGTCCCGTCGACCAGCAACTTCTCATGCTGTGATTGTAACTGCTGTCATTCAGGGGCAAAGGTATGACCACAAGCAAAAATGTCTCAGTGCCAACATGCACACAAGTACCTACACACCTGTAATGCACAGCCCTGTGGACATGGCCGTCCGGGGAAGTGTGCTGGGTGCTGCAGGCCTGCGTGCCAGGACAGAGAACGCTGGACATGGGACAGAGCTGCTTCCTACAAAGCCTCGTGGGGATCCACAGTCCCAAGTTACAGATAATGTACTGGCATTGCTATAAAATACTCAAATATGCTTGATTGTTAAACACGTCCAAAAATAAACTCATGTTTCTCCTTTGTCCACTGTGCTTACCTGTTGTAGAGGAGAATGTCTGGCTTCCAAATCTGGCCATCTGGGAAACGAACCGTCTTCACGCCTGGATACTCTGACATATTCCACTGTAAATAGTGATCCATCCAAGACTGACAAACACAGAGGGCAGCATTAGCAGCACTTTGCTTCCTTGCCTGCTAATATATCTTATAAGAGATTATTAGATAAGTTCAAAACCAAAAAGAGTTCCAGACACTTATTTACATAATTGAGTTGCTATCTGTAAAATATATGGAAACTGGGAATTAAATAACCCCTTACAAAATGACCATGAATAGCAAAAAAATCACATTTAAGATCCTGCTGTCACCATGACCACAGTCAGAGGGTAGCATTAAAGTTAATTCCAGTTCACTGAATGCCCCCAAGCCTTCCCCTCCCATAGCAGATGGGTTTTTTCCTAGCCAAATGAAGAACTGTTTTGCCTTCGAAGTTTTCCACTGTAAAGACACTTTGGACAAATAAATTCATTATTTCAATTAGAACAAGAACCAAGCTGGAAAAATGACGAATATTTATTTCCATGAAACAACTTCGTGCAGCTGCAGGGGTACCTCTCAGAAATTTCTAAGGCGCTGTTTTTGGATTTGAATTCTTATTTTCATGTAGGAATAGTGCTTCTGACACAACTCAAAAATGCAAACATGGGTGTTGGCAGTAAAACAATGAATCAGCACATGAGGGTACAGGAAATATTTATAAACACGTGAACACAGGTGCATCTCTTTGGGGCTAGGCCTGAAATTGGCTCTTGAGGGATCTCTGTGAGATGAAGGCCCATGTGTGGGGTCCTCCGTGCCAGGACTATGCACCCCAGAGCTACCTGGGGTCCACTAGCTCTGTGAAGACTGCCCAGGTAGGGCCCCACCTGCACTGCTGGACAACCAGCAGCACCCAGCCAGGACCGCAGGGCTGCTGGGTTTGGACTCATCAGCTACAGGTGTGCATAATCCGAGCCGACCCAGTAAAGGCCCCCATCCTGTATTCAGTCCCCCTGGGGCCACCTGCTCCGGAGCTCAAACTTTCTCAGATTTAAAAAGGTATGTGATGCAACACCCCAAGCTGGTCCAGGGACAACTCCCTATAATCAATCATTCTTTCTGCAGCAGAACATGCATATTTTTACTGAGAAAATAAATGCATATCAATATCAGTTTGATGTAAAGTTATAAAAACAAAAACAAACAAACAAACCAAAAATCCTGTCATGTTCAGAGTTGCTGAAATTTGAGAATTGCAGCCAAGGGGCTGTGGATCTAGAGCTCCTGAAACTTGCAGCAGGGGTCAAAGGGCATGTCCCAGAGATCCCACCATCCTCTGGAAAGGGCAGGCAAGCATCCCAGTTCTGGGCCTACCTGAAGTCAGGCAAGAAGGAATATGCAGGCAAGTAACAGCATTTCACAGCCATGGACCATGGAAAGGAGGGTGTATTGCTACCTAACGTGCTGAAGTATCATCTGGGGCATTTAGGATAGAGACCCACCAGGCCGATGTTTCTAATTAGACATGTGCAGCTGCGGAGGGTCTCTCCCATCCTCACCCTGCTGTGACAGGACAGCACAGCACCCAGAAAGAGCCAGACCTGTTCCAGCAGTTTTGCAGGAAGGCCTGGGTACCAGCCATGCTGTGTCCGCTCCAGCGGCTCCAACTCTGCCCCATTTGCCCAGCGCTCCCTTCTTTCCTCTCCCTTGCTCTGGACATAAGCCCTTATGTGCCCAACATCTGTGCTTTCCTGACCAAGTCCTCACATCCAGCTTCATATCCAGCTGGGATGCTCCTCTGGCAGCTGATTATCACAGAGCCTTACACTGTCACCTTCCCCACCATGCTGCTCAGGGCCCCAGGGCCCCAAGAACTGCCCAGGAAGGTAGGTGTGGCAGGCAGACACCCATCTCCTCTGCCTGCTGAAATGATGGCCACAGGGCAAGGGGAAGCAGGGACCTCTCCTAAGGGCACCTGATCTGAGCTGCAGGAAGCCTCCCTGGCAATTCCTCACCCCTCCCGTCTCCCCAGCTCCCTGTGCCCCAGGGCATGTATCCCGGCCATCCTGCTCACTCAGTGTCTGCTATGTGTACCATGCTCGCCAGGATGCCAGCATTACTATTCCTATTTACAAGAGAAATCGGAGTCCCAGAGAAGTGATATTATTTTTTGTTGGTCACTGGATCAGGATTCAGAACAGCATTATTTGACTTCAAGCTGGGTGACTCCTGGGCTCTACCGTGGTTGGTTCTTCCCATCCAATCTGTCTGCACAGGCAGATTCTGCACCCCAACAAGGTGGGCTGCTCATCATCCCTGAAGGCACTGCCCTTCTGGGGCTCTTCCTTAGTCCAAAGCCAAGCTGGGTCTCTCCCACCCTCACGGCAGAAAGGGGGGCTACCGGGAGCTTTGGAATCAGACAGGCAGGTTTGTACCAAGGCTCCGGCAGAGAAGAACTGTGTGAGCTCTAGCAGGTAAACCACCCTCTCTGTGCTGCAGTTTGCTCGTATGTGTCACACCTCATCAGGCACTGTAAGGATGCAATGAGATAGTGTCACAGCAGGTAAGTCACATGGCCCTGGGAGGCACGTGATACATGATGGCTTTAAAAGGAAGAGGGAACCCTCTCTTTCACAAAATCTCAGAGGACATGAGAGCTGTAATAACTGAGCTGCAGCCAAAGGTGGAGAGAGCAAGGGCCAGCTCAGTGTCAGAAGGTGGATGGAGCAGGAACCTTGGTGCTGCGTTGTCCTGGATTTGCATGAAGATTTCTTAAGAATGGATGTGGAGGGGCTTCCCGGGTGGTGCAGTGGTTGAGAGTCCGCCTGCCGATGCGGGAACCCGGGTTCGTGCCCCAGCCCGGGAAGATCTCACGTGCCGCGGAGCAGCTGGGCCCGTGAGCCATGGCCGCTGGGCCTGCGCGTCCGGAGCCTGTGCTCCGCAACGGGAGAGGCCACAACAGTGAGAGGTCCGCGTACCGCAAAAAAAAAAAAAAAGAAAAAAAGAATGGATGTGGAAAGGGGCCCATAAACAAGTGGTGGGGGGGAGTTTCTATCCTCCAAAGTACTGACTGCCTCTCAGATTGCAAGGCCCAGGAAGGCAGAGGCACTGAGCAAAATCTGTGCACAGACAGCAGCTGGCACGGCTTCCACACGTGAGCACCTGGAAACAGGGATGAACCTAGAAACGCCAACCCTCCCAGAGCTTCCCGTCAGAAGAGGCTGCACTTTGCATTCTCTCCCTATTTCTGTGTGATTCCTTCTCATTAAGTCATCAAGATACGATTACATGGGATGCTTAAGGGGAAACGCAGGGGAGGAAGGGGCCCTTGATCTAAAAGGCACAGGAAGAATCCCACTCTTTCAGGGGTCTGAGAACTGGCCCTATTACAACCTGCCTTGGGCCCACAGGAAACTCTTTTTAAATGTGTGTGTGCACACTTGCATGGAAATATTTAGCGCAAGAAAGAAAGAAAGCAGAGAGTGAGAGCAAGGGAATGAAGCAGAAGAAAGGGAAAGTTTCCTTCATTTAAAAAAATACAGTATGGTATAATAAGAAATATATTTGGTCTTTTTCCTTGGTTCCTGGCACAGAGCTCCTAAAACCCTGGGAACTTCCTGAGTGATCAGATGTCTTTTAAGCATATTTTTTATACTAATGAGTTGGCTTAGGGTGGGGCCCCTAGTCAGCCTCAGGCCAGCAGAATGCCTCTGGTCACCGGAAAGATCAACCCTGCATTAGAGGGTGGGAACCCTTATCCCCACCCCACCCCTATCTCTGGGAAGAGGAGAGGCTGGAGACTGGGTTATGAAACTCTGAACAATAAGGCTGACATTGTAAAGCAACTATACTCCAATAAAAATTAATAATAAATAAATAAACAAACAAACGATGCTGTTGGAGCAGAAAAAAAAAAAAAAAAACAAGGCTGGTGACCACATCAAGGTGCAGGGACACAGTGGCTGGGGTGGGGAAACAGAAGTTCCACTTCTCCCCTCATACCTGCCCTGGCATCTCCTCCTTCAGCTGTGCATGAGCTGCATCCTTTATAATAAATTGGAAACACAGATGAAGGTTTCTCTTGAGTTCCAGGAGCTGTTCTAGGAAAATACTGTACCCAAGCGGGGTGTGGTGGGAACGTCCGAATTTGAACTCAGCTGGACAGAAGTGTGGGTTGCCTGGCTCCCTCATCTGCAGTTTGTGTCTCAAGTGGGGGCGGTTTGTGGGACTGAGCCCTTACCTCGAGGGACTGCACGCTAACTCAGAATAAAACTGAACTGCTGGACACCAAGGTCGAGTCCCGAGAATCACAGAACCAGCTATTGGATGGGCAGACGCCAAGCGCCTGGTGTCAGGAAACACCTCACACACACATGCTCTGAACATTCTTTCCGTCAACTGTTTTGATCTCAGAGGAAGAGAGTGGGCCTCCTCCTTCCTTCTGCCCTAAAACTTTCTTCTCTCAGTGGGACACAGTGATTGAAACACCACCCTTAACTGTGGGTTACTCTTATGGCCCTAAGCAAGCCACCGACATCTCATCTATGAGCATAACGTATGGCATTTCTATTTGTCAGAGAAAAGTGATAAAGAATGCAGAAATGAAGAAGGTAAGCATTTTAGGAATAAATATGGTTTAGAATCTAATATTCTATGATGCTATTCATTCCATCATTAGAATTAGGAGGTAAAAAATAAGCATAAAAAGGATGGGAAACCTGAAACCAGAAGAATGGTCAAAATTCCAAAATTAAAGACAACAGATTTATTTTTAAAGCAACTACAAGTCTCTGGATGGCTCAAATGTCTCTTTAGAAACTGAAATGGCTTCTCGTAGATTAAATCAGATTATGTCTGACAGGCCTCCCCAAATGATAAAACTAATCTGCCAAGAAAATACACTGCTTCCTCCTCCTGTGAATATAGAGGTAAACAGAAAGATCAGACACTTTCTCTTCCTTCAGGTTATCTAAATAACTGGAAAGTCCTACAAATCAAGGACAGGTAAGAGAAAGGAAAACACAATCAACAAACTGTAGGTCAAAGAGAATGTTTTCTCTGCTTCTCTTTTTGAATGTATAGAAAATCCATCATTTGTATAATATTGA